GGCCTGGGCACATCCACTGGAGGTCACCAGGCGCGAGCTTGCCGCGGTGGCCGCAAAAGTCCTCGTGAAGCATCGTGCCGGGCGAGTGCGGCAAGAGATACGTGATGGTCTCAAAGCCGCGGTGCGGGTGGTCGGGAAACCCGCCGGGGAGCTGCACGTGGAACTCGTCGAGCATCAAGAACGGGTCGAGGCGGCGCAGCATCGGGTGACCAATGGACCGGCGCACGGTCGCACCGACACCTTCGCGCTGGGCCACCGAGACAAAGCTCTTGGAAATGGATCGGGATGTGATCATGCTGGTCAATTGAAGAATGAGCTGGACAAATGACAAGCAAAACATGCCTGGAAGATGCTTCCACCGTCAACCAACGTCTGTGATTGGCTCCAATGGATGCCGCACCGGGCCGTGATTGGTTCATTTCAAGACCATGACCAAGGAAGATCTCAGAGGCCCGAGGCAGTATCTTCCTTCGCTTACCATGCAAGCTTCGGGGACTTCCAGAGTTATCTCGAGAGCCTCACAATATCATCCAACGCAATGGGCGAGACGCCACACCATCGCATGTCGTGATCGCCGTGCTCGCTTCGCCCATCGCATCCGGTGCCGTATCGACTAGCTAGTTGCACGACGGGTTGATCCATCGAGCCTAGCTTTTCAAACACTTCGCGCCTTGCTCTCAAGTCGCGGATGCTGGCGTCGTCCCAACTTCAGCACAAGTTGGTCGGCCGAGGATTCTAAAGGGTGGTGTTTCGATCCATTCTCTTGTTTATTGTATTGCATACGATGGGCAAGACACTGGATGGGCGCCAACCATTGCTTTGTTTGGGATTGAAACAGCAAGTGCAACAAGCATGGCGTCGAACGAGATGGCGGAGCTGGTCGGCTTCTTGTCGAGCCCGCGCGCGGACCTGCGGCAGTCGGCGATGCAACTGGCGCTCGGGCTCACGGCCACGGACGCCGGCGTGCACCAACTCATCAAGGCGGACGCGGTCAAGGCGCTCTGCCGCCTCGTGAGCGACGTCAACACGATCGCGCGCGACGCGATCCATGCGCTCGTCAACATCACGGCGACGCACCCGGTCGCGTGCGAGAGCGCGCTGCAGTTTGACATTGTGAACCGCCTCATGAACCAGCTCGACTCGGACTTTGCGCACAAAGACCTCTCGATGATGCTCTTGGCCAACGTGACGACGACGCCCGACGGCGCCAAGGCGCTCGTGGCCAACGACGCCAAGTACAAGGTCCGCGAGGTCATCTTGCAGAACCTCACGATGCTCTTCCTCGAGAGCGAGCCCGAGCCCGATGGCGTCGACCTCGCGTCCGGCGAACCCAAGTGGGACGACGACTACCAGTACATTGCCAACGTGCTCGCCAACATTACGCAGCTCGAGGAAGGTCGCGACTTTCTCCTCCAGATGCGCAAGACCGAAGCGTCGTCGACGCCGCAAGCCCTCGTCCAGGTGCTCCTGCCGCAGATCCACTCGCCCAACGTCGTGCGCCGCCGCGGCATCGTGCAGGCCGTGCGCAACCTCTGCTTTGACAGCGACAACCACTTTTTTCTCTACGACTCGCTCGACGTCGTCGGCCACATGCAGAAGCGCCTTGTTGGCCCCGAGCCGCTCGAACTCGAGGAGAAGAACGGGCTGAGCGCGCTCGTGCTGTCGAGCCTCGGTCCCAAGAAGAAGCGCGAGTCGGACGACGTCGTGCGCCAGGCCGTCGTCGAGTGCCTCCTCCTCTTGTGCTCGTCCCGGAACGGCCGCAACGTCCTGCGCCAGCGCAAGGTCTACCCGATCGTGCGCAACGCCCACATCGTCGAGGGCAACGACGAGATTAGCGACCAAATTTACAAGCTCGTGGATTTTCTCATCCGCGACGAAGAAGGCGAGGAGCCGGATTGGAACGAGATCCGCGCCAAGTCGCTCGGCGTCTCCAACGACGACGTCGCGACCACTTCGACGCCCGCCGCCGCGCCGGTCTTTGAATCCGTGCTCGACAAGCCGGCGCCGATCAAGGCCGCCGCGGCGATCCACGTCGAAGAAGACGTGGACGAGGACTGTGCGGCCGCGCTGGCCAACGAGATCAACCTCCTTGACGTGAGCAGCGACGAAGAGGACGACGACGTGCCGCCGCTTGCGCCTTAACTCGATAATTACTGTTTTAAACCATGCCTAGACAGTCGAGTCGGGCAGCTGCGTGTAGTTGCGCCTCGCTTCAGCGTACGACGTGACGAGCGGGCGCTCGGTCGTGAGCAGCGGCGACGCCGAGTCCAGCGGCTCGACCGCGAGCACAATCGGAATCGCGCGCGTCTTGGTCGCGGGTAGCATGACGGCGGGCGCAAGCGAAGGCTCGTTGTGCTGGTGCATGTAAAACACGAGGAGGAGGAGCGTCGCGGCCGCAAAGATGGAGCCGTAGAGGAAGAGGTGCTCCCAGATGAGGAACGTCCGGTCGTCGTCTTCGCCGTGGATGTGCCCCGTCCGCCCTTGCAGACGCCGTCGTTACACGCAAAGCCGACGCGCATGTTGCCCGCGTCAAAGAGCGTGTAGTACGTCTTCATAAATACATCGCCGAGGACCCACCACGCTTCGGTGCTACGAGTGTGCTGCGTCACGAGATCGAAACACACACCAGAAGCTGTCGTACCCGGAATTTTGGAGCTGGAGCCGGCACTGGCCATTGTCCATGCACGCCACATAGTCGTTCGGCTGCAGCTCAAAGACGTTGTCGGGTGCCATGCCAAAACGCAGCGCTGGAAAGCTCGAGAGCGCAACGTCCCAGCACGTGACGCCATCGCAGTTGAGGCCGGCCGTGATCGACGCCACAATCGCGTCAAACTGCGTGCCCGGGATGCTAATGAGCGACGTGCCCGTGTCGACCTAGTACACGTCAAGCGGTGACGCGACGGCATCATGCACGCGGGGTTCTACAATGGCGTAGCAGAACGGCGCGCAGTAGTTGCTCGTTGCGTTGCCGACCGCAAAGCCATTCATCCTAGCATGCACTTCAATACGAAGAAGACGTGAAAGAAGAAGAGAAGCACGGTACTTGACGGCCCAGTACGTATACGTGTCGACGTCTGGTTCATGCATACTCGTCAACGAATGAAGATAATTGAGAACTACCTGGTAGCTTGACCACGGGCGTATAATGCCAGCTCGCATTCGGTCCGACGACAGAGAGGTCGTAGCCGCCAAGGTGCAGCTGAGAGCCGAGCATCGTCGGGTCGGCGTCATGTAAAAAGCAAACATGTTGCCCAGTTTTGGCTACAGACAATGGGTCGTTGGTGACGACGAGAACCTCGTGCGCAGAAGACCGACGTTGTCCTGGATAAGCAGCGAGAAGAGCGTCGGGCGCGTGATCTTCGCGAGACTCTCGAACGCAAGGCCGACGAGGCCGTCGGCGATGAACAGCTGCACGCATAGCATGAGTCAATCAATCCCTTCGCATCGCATGGGTACCTCGAGGGCTTTGGTTTCAGACGTCACGACGCCAAAGCGCGCGTTGGGGATCGTGAACGGGCCGAGGCCGATCGTGTCAACGCCAATGACGCCACGCACGGCGCCGCTGCCGTACTACAGAGCGCACGCATGAGATCCACATCACAAGTGCAAGGTCGGATTACGGTGTCAAGGAACTGTTCGTCGACGCTGTGGTACGTGCTCGAGAGGCTCGCGTCAAAGGCGGCGTGGACGCCGCAGGTTGTGCAGTCGATGCTGGGCACCCACGTATCGCTGCTGCCCGTGTCGAAGACGACGCTGAGGTTCTGCTGCGGCGACCCGAACGCGAGCTCGCCGACGTACTGGACGTTGCCATAGTTTTCAAGCGGGACGCTGGCAATCGACGCATTGCTGCCGACGAGGCGCCGCGTCAAGTGCAGCGTGTGGTGGGCGGCGGCGGTCGCGGCGCCGGCGACGAGGAGGCGCAGCCAGACCATCGATCGATCTGCTCTCCGACCACGATACCGTACACTCGGCCACAGTATGCACCCGCTCCGGATTGGTCGAGCTCGGTGGGTTCGGCACGGCCAAATAATCGCCGGCCAAACAGCACTTGGCATTTGTAGCAAGCGAAACGGTTGACCTCTCCTTGCGTGTACCTGGTGCTTGGGCCAGAGGCAGGAGGATGCTGCCATCGGCATGGAGGCCACTCGACGCCTAGAAGAGGGCGGCAACGACCCGTTCCGCATGACCGCAGTTGATGGCATCGTCCCGGATGCAAGCAACTCGTGGCAGTAGATGAGGATCGGTCCAAGGTCCGTGTAGTGTATTAGAACCGGTATGAGAGCGCACACGACGACGACAAGCGCCGGCTTCACGGAGCTTCGGCGGCGGCGGCGCGCATGACTCGTCGACGATGCTGCCGCAATGGGCGACAGGCGCGCCTCTGGGTGCTCGGCGAATCGACCTCGCAGGTACGCCAATGTATCCGACGGCGTCGCAACTTGGCAACGCGTGGCCGTCCCGTCGGTCACATGCCTGCCATGGTGGTCCAAGCTCCTCATGGTCGTCCTCCATGCATCTGCCTCTCCATCCATATCCATCACCGTGCAGTGTCTCCTCCATGGTTAGCCTTCTCCATGCAGGTGCATCGCACCTTGCATCGTCCCATCGCCGTGGTGACGTGGACGCTGGAAGCGCGGAACCATATCTCGAAATTTCGGCCGATTTCGCGTTGAATGTTGGTCGCCGTATACAAAAAGCAAGTCACACAAATTCTAGGGTAGGGCGCCGGATAGTTTATCCGGAGAGAAGATCCGATATCGTGCGGCTCCCACGGGATTTTCATTTTCCAAAGAAGTCGGCCGGCGGCAGCAGCAGCATGGGTGACAAGTACGCAGACCGGACGAGGATGCGAATGGAGATGCTCATGGACTCTTCCTCGTAGAAAGCCGGAGTTCAACGCTGGGATCATGGACCGCAAGCGGTCGCCCAACCGCCTCATTGTGGACGAAGCGACGAACGATGACAACTCGGTCGTGGCGCTGAGCATGGCCAAGATGGAGGAACTTCAGCTCTTCCGCGGTGACACGGTGCTCATCAAGGGCAAGCTGGGCCATGAGAGCGTCTGCATCGTGCTCCAGGACGATAACTGCGAGGAAGGCAACATCCGCATGAACCGCGTCGTGCGCAAGAACCTCCGCGTGCGCCTCGGTGACCTCGTGTCGATCCACGCCTGCGGCGACGTGCCGTACGGCAAGCGCATCCATGTGCTCCCGATTGACGACACGATCGAAGGCGTCACGGGCAACCTCTTTGAGGTCTACTTGAAGCCGTACTTTTTGGAGGCGTACCGCCCCGTGAAGAAGGGCGACCTCTTCTTGGTGCGCCAGGCCATGCACCCCGTCGAATTCAAGGTCGTCGAGACGGACCCTGCGCCGTACTGCATTGTCGCACCGGACACGATCATCCATTGCGAAGGCGAGCCCATCAAGCGTGAGGACGAAGAGAAGCTCGACGAAGTGGGCTACAGCGACATTGGTGGCTGCCGCCGCCAAATGGCTCAGATTCGCGAAATGATTGAGCTCCCGCTTCGCCACCCGACGCTCTTCAAGACGCTTGGTGTCAAGCCGCCGCGTGGTGTCTTGCTCTACGGCCCCCCAGGCTCGGGCAAGACCTTGATGGCACGCGCCGTCGCCAACGAGACGGGTGCTTTCTTCTTCTTGATTAACGGCCCGGAAATCATGTCCAAGATGGCCGGCGAGTCGGAGAGCAACCTCCGCAAGGCTTTCGAGGAGGCTGAGAAGAACGCTCCCGCCATCATCTTCATTGATGAGATCGACTCGATCGCGCCTAAGCGTGAGAAGACCAACGGTGAAGTCGAACGTCGCATCGTCTCGCAGCTCTTGACGCTTATGGACGGCATGAAGAAGCGCTCAAGCGTCGTCGTCATTGGCGCCACGAACCGCCCCAACAGCATTGACGCTGCTCTCCGCCGCTTCGGTCGCTTCGATCGCGAAATCGACATTGGTGTCCCGGACGAGAACGGCCGCCTCGAAATCTTCCGCATCCACACGCGCAACATGAAGCTTGACGACACGGTGGACCCCGAGGCGATCGCCCGCGACACGCACGGCTTTGTGGGTGCCGATATGGCTGCTCTCTGTACCGAAGCTGCGCTGCAGTGCATCCGCGAGAAGATGGACGTCATTGACATTGAAGACGAGTCGATCGACGCCGAGATCTTGGACGCGATGGCGGTCACCCAGGAGCACTTCAAGTACGCGCTCGGTGTGTCGAACCCGTCGTCGCTCCGCGAGACGACGGTCGAAGTGCCCAACGTCAGCTGGAAGGACATTGGTGGTCTCGAGTCGGTCAAGCGCGAGCTCCGCGAGCTCGTTCAGTACCCCGTCGAGCACCCCGAGAAGTTCGAGAAGTATGGTATGTCGGCCTCGAAGGGCGTGCTCTTTTACGGCCCGCCCGGTTGCGGTAAGACGCTCCTCGCCAAGGCCGTCGCCAACGAGTGCCAGGCCAACTTTATCTCGGTCAAGGGCCCCGAGCTCCTCACCATGTGGTTTGGTGAGTCGGAAGCCAACGTCCGCGAAATCTTTGACAAGGCACGGGCGGCCGCACCGTGCGTCTTGTTCTTTGATGAGCTCGACTCGATTGCGCAGCAGCGTGGCGGTTCGTCGGGTGACGCTGGTGGTGCCGGTGACCGCGTCATGAACCAGCTCCTGACGGAAATGGACGGCATGGGTGCCAAGAAGAATGTTTTCTTTATTGGCGCGACCAACCGTCCCGACATCATTGACCCGGCCCTCATGCGCCCTGGTCGTCTTGACCAGCTCATCTTCATCCCGATGCCCGACCTCGAGTCGCGCCTTTCGATTTTAAAGGCTGCGTTGCGCAAGAGTCCCGTCTCGAAGGATGTCGATCTTAACTACCTCGCCGCCCAGACGGACAAGTTTACGGGTGCCGACTTGACGGAGATTTGCCAGCGCGCCGCCAAGCTCGCGATCCGCGAGTCGATCCAGCGCGACATGGAGCGCGATCGCCTCCGCGCCGAGGCCGGCGACGATATGCAGGACATTGAAGAAGACGACCCGGTGCCCGAGATTACGGCCGCGCACTTTGAGGAAGCCGTGCGCAACGCGCGCCGCTCGGTGAGCGACCGCGACTTGCAGCAGTACTCTACGTTTGCGCAGACGTTGCAGCAGTCGCGCTCGCAGGTCAACTCGGCTGGCGGCTCCTTGGCCAACTTTAGCTTCCCCGGCCGCAACATCATTGGTGGTGGCGCCGGTGCGGCGGCGGCGGCTGTCGACGAAGACGAAGAAGACCTCTACAGCTAGAGTACACGCAGGACTTAAGGTGGACGCGGAACCTTAAATTATTTTTGTACTCGATTGCATACTTACTGTTGAATTCTACGCCGGGAATCACTTTTCAGATCTGGAAGGTCTGCGCTGTGGCGTTGAGGCAACACCACCTGGTAGTACTTGGACGACTTCCGGTCAGCTAGGGGCTCCGAGCGACGAAGGCGCCGACCCCCACTCGTCGAAGGTGCCGAGTCGCCACCACGAATCTCACCAAAAGATCGCTGAAGCGGCCACTCCGATTGGTGTAAATTTAGCCAATCCGCGCCGCGTTGGTTTTGAGCTCGAAACGGGCGTGGGCAGAAACCGCCGAGCGTTGGCCAGCCCGAGGGCACCCGCGAGACGCTGCCGAAAACGCTTGTGCGTTCCAGATGGATGCTTCAATCGGTGAGGTCGGCCGCGTCTGGCGCGGACGACGAGAGGAAATTGCCGCCAGCAGCTGGAAGCTTCTCCGGCGCCAAACCTGCTCCAAGAAATCGAACGTCGCATTTGGTTTCGGCTTGGAATAGTCGGCGTCTTCTGATTGGCCATAATTCGTACGACTTGCGCCCTCGCCTTGCATTTCCATATTTTTCAATGCGCCGACGAAGGTTTCCAATACAAAAGCCCAATACGTTGAAAATTCGAAAAAGAGAAGTTACAAGTGGACGGCTTTTTGGCCAATCACTGTGTTGAGGGCTAGGTTGTCAAGAGTTTGCCAATCAAAAGCGTCCAAGGAGAAGATTTTGGCCAATAAAACACCAACACCCCTTCAGAGGCCTTGAAGATCTACTATGCGTACAACCGCGTCGTGGATCCAGAAACGAAAAAGCCTTCCCGACCGATAACGGCAAGGAAACGGCCCATCGCCATGTACGCCCAAGGCCACGCTTACGACGACCACGACGGCCGCCACGACCAGCAGATGCAGGGCCTCCTCCATGAGCAGTACCAAATGCAGTCGCACCTGCTCCATGCGCCGGTGCACCACATGCACCACGACCGCGCCCACGAGCATGGTGGCGCCATGGTGCACCCGACGATGCATCTCAAGGACAAGTCGGCCGACAGCATGCGCCTCGCCATGAACACGCACGACATGGGCGGCCTCATGGAGACCAGCGACCACCTTGTATGCACTTGCCTTTCGTGCTATATGAAGTGTGCGTGAGCCTTATTGCGCCCATGATTAGATGCAGCGCATGTACGACCAGGACGACGACGAAGAAGAGGACGACGTCAAGCGTTCCAAAGGTGACGCGAACAGCAAGAAGCCGTGGACGCGCGAAGAGAACGAGAAGCTCATGCAGCTCGTCAAGCAGTATGGCGCCAAGCGCTGGTCGCTCATCGCGATGCACCTCCCAGGCCGCGTCGGCAAGCAATGCCGCGAGCGGTACACCGAACTCCCGTATGCGCGCCAATAACTCACGCCACCCATAGCTGGCACAACCATCTGAACCCTGCTGTGCGCAAGGATGCGTGGACCGCGGAGGAGGATTACGTGATCTTCGAATGCCACAAGAACGTCGGCAACCAGTGGGCTGAGATCTCCAAGATGCTGCCCGGCCGGTATGTCCAGGGACGTCACAGTAAAATGGGATTCAAGCCTTACGTAGTACGGACAATGCCATCAAGAACCGGTATTACTCGACGATGCGCCGCATGCAGCGCCAATCGCTCCGGAAGAAGGGCTGCACACGCGAGACGAAGCCGCGGTCGCAGTCGCTGATCGTGTCGCCGACCAGCAGCGACGCCCACCACATGTTCCCTCGCGGCGCGCCGTTCCAGAAGCTCGTGCTCTCGGCCAACGGCAAGATGGACGGCAATGGCAGCAACCACAACAATGGGAACTTTCTCAGCGAGTACGACCCGCGCAACCACCACAACGGCATGGAGTTTGGCACGGGTCCGTTCGCGAACAACCACAGCAGCAACGGCGGTGGCTATGCCGGTGAATTCCAGCACTCGCCGTTCGAGTACCAGCAGCACCTGCGCCGTCACTCGTCGACGTCGGACGCGCCGCACATGATGCTGTACCCGCCGACCGGCATGATGCACACGTCACCGACATCGTCGTCGTCGGGCATGTACGACAACCAGCGCGGTACGAACGTGTCTTCTGTAGCCCATATCTCAATATGTATCTAGAAGACGGCAAGCACGACGAGAAGCACCACCACGACACGCACGCGCACCACCGCGTATTAGACGACTTGCAGATGCGCGAGCAGAACAACGCGACGCGGCCTGTCTCGGTGACGGCGCGCCTCTTCCAGAATACGCATCCGTCCATGGTCAAAGGTGGCAACCAAGAGCTGGACGGCGGCGCGAAAGACAAGATGCTCCTCAAGCCCGCGTACGACGTCGAGACGCAAGAAGTCTACATCTAAACGCGCAGCAGGCCTTCATTTCCATGCAACAACTTATATCGTAGACGTAACCCAACAACAATCCACTAGTTTATTAGGCAACCTTTGTCGGCGTTTGTGTGCGATCCTCGAGGCACGGCGCGACTATAGCGGGAAGGAGCCACTGGGGAAGAGCTGCAGCCACAGTTGCATCAGATCGTGGCAAGGTTGTCGGTACATCGGAGGGACTGAGAGAGATGCAAGGCGACGCAGGGCCTAGGTCGGAAGGAGCCAGGGTCGACAGCAACCGTCCAGAATGACGATTTATCGCGAGCAGGCGTGGAATGGCGGCGGGCCCAACGTCTCATTGCGGTGTGGGGGGACGGAGGAGGGTATTGGTTTGTACACATTGCATTGGGGGGTGTCAGCAGCTCGGCGCGTCCTTGATAACTACTGTACTACTACGACACTCCTGCTCCAAGATGGTTTCGAGCATCGCCATTTTCTTGCCGCCGCTGCGCGCACGCTGAAGGACGAGCGGCGGCGCTTTCATGAGCGGCGCGCCGCCCTTGACGCGGCTCGCGAGCTTGATTTTATTCATTTCCATGTACACGGACGGCGTCGTCAGAAACGCCAGCACGAGCTGGAGGTACCCCTCGGCGATGAGCGGGCATTGCAGATGCGGCTTCTCGGCGCCAATCTCGACGAGGCCGGTCGCGTACGCGCAGAAGAGGCGGGCGCGCATCGCAGCGAGGCCATCATCGACTACCGAGTTGCTAAAGAGGCGCAGCGCCCACTTCTTGGGCGGCAGCTCGAGGTCCTGGACGAGGTCGAGGACGGCGCTGCAGTGCTGGCAGTGGCCGGCCTCGAGGAGCCCGTCGATCTGGTTCTGGAGCTCCAGGAAGCGCGAGAAGCGCTTGCGGATGTTCCACACGAGGCCATTGCGCGTGTTGGCCATCTCAATGTCGTACTCCATGTGCGTGCCATCGGCCGCGAGGATCGGGCGCACGGAGCGCACGACCAGGTGGACAAAGGCCATGGACTTGGGCACCTTGCCGTGCTTGAGCGTCGTCGGCGCCTTGGGCATGACCTTCTCTGCGCTGAGCGCGCTCATCGCGCGATGGCCGACAAAGGTTCCCATGCGTTCTACAGCGAATTGCACACTGGCGGCGAACCGAGTCGTGGCATCTTCGATTTGTAATAAAATACGTCCATTTGATTTCTTATTTCTTATCGCTGGCATAGAAAAAGTCCTTCGAATCGGAATATTATTATACGGTCGCCCAATCACACGCAAGTTGAACAAGTGGCCTAAAAAGTACTTCAACTTGGAGGGTTCAATCCGTCCGCGCGGCCGTACATTGACATGTACGTACGCTTGAGCTAGGTGTTTGTATGAACAGACGTACGCCATGTCGGGGTACAGGGTGCAGGATCGCAGGTGACCGAGACCACCAACACGACAGGCAGGCGCCGACGGGCCGTAGCCGACGCGGTGGCGCATCCGATCCAAGCGAACGCACGCCAGACGTGCTTGCCCGTGCGACGATACAGGATGTGGCGCGTCTAGAGGCCAAGGACAGGCGCTGGCAGTGTCAGTTAATCCCAGGAAGATCCGATCCGGGTGCACGAGGAACAGCGTCTGAGTTCAAAGTGGGATTCGCACCCGCTTCGTTGAATTGCAGCCGTGGGATGAGAGTTCAGCCGTGTCACTGGCGTTTCCTCCGCCGACAACCGCGCGCCTCTGCCGCCGCCGATGCGTTGAGGGGCGGCAGCTATTATAGACTATTATAGAGAGGGAGGCTTGCTGGAGTGAGTGGGGGTCGTGACAGCAGATTGCAGCACGTGTCGAAAGGCCCTATGTAAAAATACACCCGATGACGGCGCGCATCTGCAGCGGTCCTAAATTTAGCGGCATCAAAGTATGGGATGCGGGGCACGCAGCAGCAGGCCGAGATCGCAAGCTTGATCGCCGAGTGCAGCCGCGCGCTCGAGGCAGACCCCTCGTGCCTCAAGACGCATGCCATCCGGGGTCATGCGTGCCTCAAGGCCAAGCGCTGGGCCATGGCCGTCGACGACTTTAGCGCGATCCCGACGTCCGCGGCGACGATGTCCATGGTCGCTTCAGGCACGCGCCTTCGTCTGCGTCCTACGCTCATGCCTCTTGCACCATGTAGTCGAGGCATGGCGCTCTTCCAATGTGGCCTCATCGAACGCGCGCATGCGGACTTTTCGACCGTCTTGAGCATCAACCCGACCCACGTCATGGCCCGCTACGCCCGGTATCCTGCCGTCCTGATAGGATATAGCCATGACGCGTCGCATAGCGCGGGGTGCTACAACACGGAGGGCGAATTCCAGCGTGCGATCCAAGACTACACAATTGCGCTCGAGTGCGACGGCCACGACAAGAGCATGCTCGAGCGTGGCGGCGGTCGGCTCTACCTGCACGAGACGGCCGAGAAGGTCATCAACGACAAGCTCAACCGCAGCTACCACCGATCGACGCCCCGCGACGCACTGTCGTCGCCGCTTCGAAAGCGCCATAGCTCCCCGTCGGTCCGGTCGCCCATAAAGCCGCCATTGGCGCGCACCGCATCCGTCGACGTCGCGCGCGTCACGGTCGACCTCTCGGCCCTCTGCGCCAAGAAGCCGCTCATCAAGAAGGTCACCGTGACGTTATAACACGCTCCACCGTTGCTCCTCGAGTTTAGTTGGTAGCCTCTCACTTGGTGGTGGTCGCGGAGCGGACGTCGAGCTCTTGCGTGACGAGCGAGATGTAGTCTTCGTAGTAGATCCGTCCCGTGTCGGCGTCTTTGGCCACGTGCATGAAGCCTACATACGCAGCACGTAGTTCGCACGGTCAATCGCGCTGGCGTACTACCTTCGAGCTCCTTCTCGCGGAAGGGCGTGCCTTTGGTCAAGAGCAGCTCCTTCATGACGTCGGCCTCGAGATAACCCTTCTTGTCCGGGTCGAGCACCTACCCTCCCTGTATGACCCGACTGCCACGTGTACTCGCGAGGGTCGTACGCGGAAGGCTGCCATGAGCGCCTCGTCCGAGTCGGGCTCGTACTCGTGGCTGTACATGACCTCGAGCATCTTCTTTTCAAATTTCTCGTAGGTCACAAAGGTCGACGGCTCGTCGTCTTGCATCTACATCACTGTCGATCCATGCTCCTCATCCTCATCGACGTCAATACCTCGGGCAGAATCTTCTTGATGATGTCCTTCTCGCTCGGGTACGCGCCGAGGTACCGCATGATCGTGCTCACTTCTCTACCACATCCCTCTCGATGCATGTTCAGCCGTCGCTCGCTCGTACGTACTCTTGGATGACGCAGCCCTTGCGCTCCTTGTCGAACATGTCGAAGGCGCTGCGGATCTGCGCGCGCAAGTACGCGTCCATGTCGGGCGACGGGTCCATCGCGCCGAAACCTCCAAATGGCTCAAGCTTGGTCGACGATCATCATCATCCTCATCCTCATCATCATCCTGCATGGTTGATGGTCCTAGTACGCCCTCGGCCGTGGTCCGTCTACGAACCGCTTCGCGCATGTAAAACTTGGAAACAACATTATTAACGTTTACTCGTCCGTGAAACCCGTGACCTCCATGTTGACGACCAGCGTCAGCACGTTCTCGAGCTCTTGCTTGGACTTGTACTTGGGCAGATCGATGCGGTTGAAGCACGTGTGGGCGCGCGGAAACGTGTGCTCGGGGTACGCGACCGTGTTGAGCGTAAAGTGGCAGATCCGGCCGTCGTAGCTCGTGAGCGCCTTGAAGCCTTGGACCGGCACGCGCGACGAGCCGGTCGTAAACTGCAAGAGGCGCGCGCGCTCTTCGTCCGAGAAGGCGCCAACGACCTCCCAAAACCACACGAGGAGCTCCGGCGGCATGTCTTCCGAGCTCTCGGTATGCGCCTTCCAGTCGTCCTGATCGATCGACGGCACGCCGCAGAGGACGAGCTCGAGCTCTTGGTAGTCAAACACCAAGATGAGTTCTTGCGGAAGCACCTCAAAGACGCCGGCCATGAGGTGCTGAAGCTGCTCCGAGAAGCTCTCGAGCATGATGTAGCGCAGCCGCAGGTAGATGTACTCGAGCTTGTTGGCGTCGTTGACCTCAATGTTGCGGCCGTTCTCCTTGAGATCGATCGTCTCGACGTCGCCGTTGATCTTCCGGTTCGTGACGCTAAAGTCCAAGCAAAGCGCCTCGACGCCGTCGTTTTCCTTCATCCACTTCATGCTCCGGTAGACCTCGTGGTCGACAAACTCCAAGTCGCTGAACGAAATCGGCACGCTACGCATACAGCACATCGTGAGTGCGTCCAGCATGCGAGGAGAATGGTACCCGAGGAGATGCTTGAGCACCGGCAGCGCCAAATGCGCCTTCATGAGCTGCCCTTCGAGGAGCGCACGGCCAAGGAGCCGCCCCGCGCCGCGAAAGTACAAGAGATGGTCCGCACTGGCTTCAATGCTGTTGGGGTTGATCACATACGCCAGCGACTCGACGTGGGCGCACATGAAGAGCCCGATCGTCTCGTCAAAGAGCTTCTCCGTCACCAGCGCAAACCTACAAGTCGAATCCTCAGCAACTTGAAGAGTAAGAAAGGAGGCAACCATTCGCGCTCGAGACCACCGGCGTCGATCGCAACTTCGCCGATAAACTCAATGCGAAGGGGCATGTGGATATGCTCCATTTGCACGCCGAGAAGCTGCTCCATGGACTCGACGAGGATGTTTTCACGGTGAACGCGCATCTTGAGGTGGCCGTCTTCCCACGGCCGGATCAGAGACGACGTTTGCTCGAGGAACCACGAGTACCTACGCGATATCGATGACCGCCAATGATGGCAGGTAGTCGTACTTGTCCTTGAAGGGCAGCGCCGCGACTTGCTCGAGAATCTCCAAGTCCTGCGCCGAGATCTCGTACCCGCGCGACGCCATGGACGCGTCGACCTCGCGGTACTCTTTGAACGTCATGCGCCCTTCGGGGTGGCGCGGTGTCTGCGCGAGCTGCGACACGAACGCGAGCGAGTGCTGGTGCACGAGCTCCGCGCCATGCGCCGCCTCGAGCGCGACGGGATTCGGAACGATGGGATCGCGCTTGCCCCAGTGTCGCTTCCCGTCCGCGCCGACCTTGCGCACCCAGTCCTGTCGGTTGCGCGCGCCGCGCTGACGCGAATTGAGCATGTTCAGGCGGCGAATCGCAAACGAGCGCTGGCGGTTGAACGAGCCCGCGTTGAGGAGGTCCGACTTGCTCAAGTTGGTCGTCGAGATACTGCGGCGCGGCGTCCGTGGCGAGCCCAGCCCGAGCTTGAAGCCCTTGTCTGTACCGCACAAGATGCACGACGACGTCGACGGTTTGTTGGAAAAGTCGCACACTTCGCACTTCCATTGGCGGTCCAATTCTTCCTTCCTACTCATCACCATGCATCAGTCGCGTCCTGTTCTCGCCGCGTCCACGTACGATTCCTGCACGTCTTGGCGCGTGAGCGGTTGGCCATCTTCCGTGTACTGCCTACGCCATGCGCATCAGCTACGGCGGCCTCGGCGAAGCGACGACATACCCGCCGAGCAGCGGCTGCTGCAGCGAGTCTTCAAAGCTGTGCTTTCGGCAGCAGTAGTACATGACGATGACGATCAAGATGCCACCCGTCACGTAGGCGATCCATGGCGGGATCGTCGCGGGCTGCGTGGACGACTCGCTCTGCGCGCAGACGAGCGCCGGCGCGATGAGGAGGCCGGCCACGAGCTTGGTCAGGACGCGGGCCACGGAAAGCATAGCGTCGGAGTCTCTTGAATACGCCAAGTTGGTGAGAATCTTTCGAAAATTAATTCACGGCCGTTGCACCGCATCTCGAAGGTCCATGGATTGAATTGCATTCAAAGATCAAGTCAGAGGATTTCCACGGTTTTAAAATGCAGAAAATTGGCGGCGCGACATCGTCGATATTTTATTAAATTATTGCGCTGCTGGAACCCACGACGGATGTAACACCCACGGCGAGCCGAGTTGGTAACGGACGCCCATGCCACCACGCCCAAGCGGCCGCATGGCAGGCAGGACGCGCGTCGGTCCAAGCTCGCTCATGGCCGACGGCGCTGAGAGGCGTACTAGGTGTCGCACGCTGTCGTGACGGCTGTATGTATGCTGGCCCGCCCCTACAGCTGGCACGCGATGGGCAAGACGGCCTTTCTTCTAAGTCGCAGCGAAGCAAAAGGTTCTGGTTACGTTAGCCGAGCACCCTACTGGCGCGGCGCGACGTACGACGTCAGGTCCTGCGTCCACGACTCATTGTAGTGGCTGCCCAGGATGTCGCGGAACTACGTGGTCGACAGACGAATAAGATGATAAGATTCTGCATGTGGACGCACGCACCTTGGCAACGTCGGCCTCCGTCATGGGCCCCGTAGCGTCCCGACACGCGACGGACGAGAGGACTTCGGCTTCGCCGATACTACCCACGACCATACACGCAATGGACGGATGCGTTCGCTGCACGTCGAGCGTATACTGGATGGCCAAGCTCTCGACCGACGGTTGCGATGGGTACGTGGCCTTCGAGTGGGCGGCGAGCCACGTGAGCGCCTCGGCGCAGCTCGCACGCAGCGCTGGCGAGGCAGGGTGCCACGCCGGAGGGCCGCGCGACGTCAGCAGACTCATCGAGAGCGGCGCGGCGTTGATGACAAAGATGCCCTTCGCCTCCCACGCCTTGGCCTTCGACAGCAGCTTATCGTTCTGGAGTGTCAGATGCGAGTAGCTTTGCACGATCTGCAGCGGGTGCGGCGAGTTCTGGATGAGATCGTCGAGCACCTAATTGGCATGAGCCACGCACGCCACACAACGTAGTGTCGTACATCGAGCGGGTAGCCGCAGATGCCAATGAGGCGCACGAGGCCCTCGCGCTGGAGCTCGGCGAGCGCAGGGATCGCCGTGTGGAGCACAATGTCACGCGCGACAAACTCGACGTCGTGCAGGTACACTGCATCGAGGTACGTAGTCCTACACGTCGCTTGAAGATGCAGCGTCCATATGATCGCGGCGAAGCGTACCCGAGCTTTTGCAGCGACTCGCGCACGCTTTGGCGAATACGGTCGCGCGAGTAGTCAAAGACGCCGTTCGGGTGCAGTGGGCTCGGGTACCGGCCGCACTTGGTCACGAGGATGTACTCGTCGCGGGGCGTGGCAAGGTTGGCGAGCGCAGCGCCGACCACAGTTTCGGCGTTATTGTACCACGGCGACGTATCGATGAGGCGCACGCCATGCGCAAAGGCCGTGCGAAAGGTCTCGGTGGCGACCGCGACCGCTTCGCCCGGGAGCTGCTGGTAGAGGCCGCCGAGGCCGACGGTGCCAAGCGCGAGGCCGTTGGTCCGGGCCTTGAGGTCTTCGATGGACGTCATGGATGATCAAGTTCTTGCTTCGTTGTCCTTCGGCGCTTGGGCATCGGTCTCTCAAAGTCGATACACGTCGGCAATCAGTTTTAAAAACTCGGTGGGATCATCCGGATACGATCGGGCGTTCATTGGCAGCGTGGGACGTCAGTGCATACATTGATCCAATGCGCGCCCGCCAAAAGCCAGCCGTCGGGTGCGGCGTATCCGGATCCAATATAAAAAGGCAACCGCGATTTAATTGGAGGTAATTATTCCGTCTAGCGTCGCCGGGAATACATCGAGAGATAGGTGGTCGCGCCGAGATGACCTCGATTGCCAAGACGACGACGACGACGCCGGGCCCGATGAAGCCCTGCGCGTCGATCGCGTCCAAGTCCACCATCGTGCAGCCGTCGGCGACCGCGCTCAAGGAGTTCCGCAAGGTACGACGACCACGTGTCGTGACGACGTGGGATCCACAACCTCTCGTAGCGCTGGTCGATCTTGTCGGAGAGCGAGCGCATGCATTGCCTGCGTGGCACGGGCGTTCAGTTCTTCGCCACGGTCGCAGAGCTTGTGCCCTGCCTCGCGTGCCGAAGCGGCGCCGAGAGCCTCTTTCTGCGCGCCACGACGACGCTGCCGCTGCTCTGCGGGTCGCTCAACCCTGGCGGCATGAACAACACGAGCATCCAGCTCAACGACTCGGGCGTCGTCCAGTTCCATACGGACCAAACCTTTGTGTTGCATCCGACGTACCTCGTACAGGCCGACGCGACGCTCGCGCTCTTTGTCTCGCACGAGACGCAGAATGTGATCCAAACGACCGCGAGTACGCACAAGGGCCAAAAAGGCAACAAGCTCGCCAAGCACAATACGACGCTCAAGGTCAAGACGACGACGTTCAACTACGAGACCACGATGAAGCTGCACATGCACACGAATGGCACGACGTCGTCCTCGATGATGACGACGACGACGACGACGCACCACCCGTCGTCGCTGCTGCCGACTGCGCCGCTGCATCCGGCGATGGCCGCGAGTGGCGCGCCGCCGTCGCACCATCCTCTGGGGATGTTCGGTCCGCCGCCGGCCGGGCTCGACCTCGGCGCGATGGGCCATCTCGGCAGTCTCACGCTCGGTCTCAGCAGCTTGAGTCTTGGTCTGGGCATGAACTTTGCCAAGTCGAGTAAACGTTGTGCGCTCCACTCGGCGAAGCTCAAGTCGCACCCGCGGCCCGGGACGTTTACCAACTTGTGGGAGAAAATGACGCCCGAGTACCAGAACGAAATTACGCAAATCGACTCGGACCAGTTCCTCAACGACCTCGAGTGCTACTTGAGAAGGCACCGGTTTTGCTGCCGCTGCAAGGAAAAGGTCCTCGAGGCGTACGACCTGCTCGTCGGGTCGGGCTGCAGCGAGAGCGACTGCGAAGACTGTGCTGGCTTGCACTGCTACTCGGACGACAAGAGCTCGTCGAACGGGTCGTCGTCGTCGCACGAAGAGCCGACTTCAGTCACGTCCCATGACGACGCGAGCGCGTTCCTCTTTGACGAGATTAGCTTTTGCCGCGATACGAACCAGATCATCGTGCCTGCGACGCTCGAATACCTCCTCCAGCTCATGGACCGCGCCGACCAAGAAGTCGTGCTGGACCGCCACGCGCGCACGCTCGCAGAGGCCCAAGACGAGGTGCTCACGTGCCTCGGCCTCGTCGTCTGGGACAAGCTGCAGATGATGTGGAGCAAGATCCAGTGCGAAGAGCGGTCGTCGGAACTGCTCTTGTATTGCGCGATTGCGACGATTCGGCACAACTTTGACATGGCGGTCGAGGCGCTCCACGGCCAAGAAATCATGGAGCAGCTCCTCGCCGAGGAAGAGGAGGACTCGCGCCGCGAAGAGCGCAAGAAGGAAAAGCGCAAAGAGAAGAAGAAGAAGAAGAAGGCCGCGACCAAGTCGGCCGCGTCCGACTCGGCGACTCCGATCGAAGTCGAGCAAACGCCGCCCAAGCCCAAGAAGCCCAAGAAGGTCGTCGCGCCCAAGGCGCCGACAATGGCGCGAGCCGAGAGTCCGAGCAAGATGCGGCTGGACGCGGACGCGGAGCGCCAGCTGCTCTCGTCCATGGGGTGGGAGCACGACCCGGTCGACGAAGCCAACGACGACGCCGAGAGCCTCATTCCCGAAGACGACATGCTGTTTTGGAAGCGCAACAAGAGTGACCTCGTGACGCAGCGTATGGAGCAGCGCCAGAAGCTCCAGGAAAAGTTCAACGCCCTCCTCCAGCGCAGCGGCTCGGTCGTGTAGATATTAACACCGCAACACGTTGTAGAGTGTCGTCCATGATGGAAACGGACGACGACCAATGTTGCAACATCTTACGGTACCACGCCATGCAGCGGCGTCGACTGCTCTAGTCGCCCAATGGCCTGACTGCGCGCCTTGTCGGAAGCGGCACCGAGCTGCTGGAGCCGCGCTTGGAGCTCGCCGAAGAGCGCATCGAGCTGCGCTACATTGGTGTGCAGGCTGGCCCCGTGCGTTGCCAACGTCGCAATCTAATCGGACATTCCAAGTCGTGTACCACGACAAGCACAAGGAACTTGCCGGCGATTCCCATGTCGGCAGTGTCGCCGACAACGTGTACTCGAGCGTACGCGTGAGCTCTTGGACGGCTGCGTCTAGCGCCGAGGACGAGCAATGGGCATCCGACATGGGCAGTCGATGCAGCGTCGCAGCAACCGCTCGCGAGAGATCGCGAATCTGGTCCCCATACGTTTGCAAGAGTTCGGGCAGGTGGGCCAGCGACGCGCCCTAGAACATCGTACACGAGAGGTTGGCGAGGATGCCTTGGATGTACTACTACATGGTCCTGGAGGTGCGTGTGCAAATGAAACATGTTCCGTTCGTGGGCCCAGCGCCGCTCCATGCTGTGGAGCGCCTTGGTCTTTTCGTGCACAACGGCAAAGACCGCCGCGAGCTGGGCCTACGGTTGGTGTCAAGACGTGCGATGATGGAGTCTCTACCGTGGCGTCGGCTTCTTGCTTTTGGAACGCTTGGTCCGCCAACCGCTCGACGTAGCAGAGCTGGTAGTAGAGCGATTCGTGCAATTCCACCGTCTCCGAGTCTTTTGCCGACGTCGTTGGCACTTGCGGCTGCTTGGCCGCCACATCGAGACGCATGGTGCTCGCCGTCGCTTCCGTGCGTGCTTTCTTGACGACCTTTGTCGGTGTCCGTGTCGGCTCGTGCGCTGCCTTCTTTTGGCGAAAGGCCTCGAGCCGCTCGGCCACGCTGCCAGACGACGTTGCCACTGGCGCGGGCTTTAGCACTTGTGCGTGTGCTATAGCTGTGCGCTTTGTCGATGGAGCCGGTGCATGCGGTACGGAAGCGGGAGCCGAAACGGGTGCTGCCAATGCTGAAGCTGGGACCGGCGGCGCTGCTGCATGACGTCGCGCTGGCAGGTTCAAGCTCTGCGCATACCGTGATGCAACGACCTTGACTACGAGTGCAAGCATGAGATGCATGCACCGCGCAGGCATGTAATCGGTCTCGTACCTTTGCGCTTGGGCTTGGCGTCGCCCGCGTTGCCACTGCCGCGACCGTCCGCCATGCTAATTTTCAAAACTCAAAACTAAAAAATGCGCTGAGTTTGAGTTTGCGTTTAGGAGTGTAGGTGGATCCATCACATCACACAGCGAAGGCAACGACACGCCTGGGACGCGCAATGAAATTGACCATCCGTTCGACTGACTAGAGAAACGACTAACTAAAGTAAAGTGAAGCGACAAGAGCGATGAAACATCGAACGCGACAAGCCTCCTACGCCACTGCGGACTCCTCGATGCCGTGGACGTTCATGAGACCTCGACGTCGTTGACGAGCAAGGCTCGAGACACACGCGACACCGCGGCCTGTCCCCGGCACTTGCACAGGCAGGTCGTGCATGGCCGCAGCGCAACGCTTATAAGACGCCGTGTTCCTTCGATCTTGGCATCTCTCAGTTCTGCGTGTCGACTGTACGTTGGGCTGCCCGACGTGGCGTTGGCACCGTTTCGTAGGAAGAGATTCAACGTTTAACAGCGGTTTCACACTCGGATCTGCGCCGCCATGGACGCCGACGTCGACTACAAGGACGACTCGTTTGACGAGGTACGAAGCACCTGCTTACCTGGCGTACGATGAGCTACGCTCGTAGGGCGCTTCCGGCCCAGAGGAGGCGCGTGCGAGCCCCACCAAAGGTGTTCACAGCCGGTCAGCTGATGAGCCTGACACCAATATGACCGTAGACGACCAAACGCGCGATGCAGTGACAACAGCCAAGAAAGGCGCGACGTCCCAAGCCGCGCCCAAGAAGGAGACGGAGCTCCAGCTTCTTCAGAAGAAGATTGGTGTCTACCGCAAGGCCAACGAGACGCTGCGCAAGGAGCTCGAGTCGCTGCACTCGAACGACGCACTCGTCCACGTACGCATATTTCCTTGGGATCTTATTGGCAAGGCATGTGGAAGTAGCTCGAAAACAAGGCCCGCGAGAAGCAGCTCCTGATTGAGAAACTCGTGCATGAGAACCGGTATTTGGCCAACCTCCAGCGCACGCAAGCCAAGCGCATTGAAGAACTCGAGGCGCTCAAAGAGCATTTTCCTGCCAAGCACCACTCGGTCATGGAGGAGCTCCGCGTCTGTAAAGAGACCTTTCGCATGTACAAGGAGCGCGAGAAGGCGGCGGACGAACGGTCGGCTAAGCTCCACCAGCAGGTCGTCGACTTGACGCAGCGCAACAAATCGCTGGCCGAGAAGATCAAGGCCCACGAAAACTACAAGCCACCAGCCGACTCGACGGCCACCAAGGTACCCTACGTTCGGAGCCTCATTTCGGCGACACTTGTGGCTAGGATATGGACGATGGCCGGGAAGACGAGCTCTTACAGCTCCAGGCCCGCGTAGCGCAGCTCGAGAAGGTCCATTGTTATTGGCTGTCGAGAGACGCGTCTTGATCGTCACGACAACATTAGACCAAGCGCATTGAGAAAGCCAAGTACGACCGCATCATCAAGGCGTGCGAAGACCAGCTCGACGAGTGCAAGCGCGAGATGGAGTCGTTCCAAACCCAGCTTTTGGACAAGGAGAAAGAGCTCCGCCTCCAGGTCGTGCAGCTCAAGAAGCTCAAGCGCACGCTGCGTGAGCTCGTCGTTGACACGCAAACCAACCAGCAACTCTGTTCCTTTCTGCAAGGCGCGTCCGTCAACTCGATGGCGCACCGCATCGTCGGGCCCGATGGTGCCGCCAAGAAGGTGCCCATGCCGCCGCCGACCATCGCAAGCGACAAGCGACCGGTCCGAATACAACAGTCGTCCCGAGTTGCCGAGCCTCGGTCCGTCATCGTACGACCAGACAAGAGCTCTGAAGATGAAGTCGATGGCTAAACACAGTGCTTGCCCGTGTACTTCAACTGCTTCGTACATCGCATTTCGGCGGATGACTGACCATCCGCAACGGTACTAGTCAATGAATCGCGGATCGTTGACCTTTGCTCCATGGACACCGATGGAAACGGACGTTGTGCTGCTCCCCAGTCGACGCGTTTTGGGGTGGAAGCTCGAGCCATTTGCGACGCCGTAGACATCGCGGCTGTCTCTGCGAAGATATCGCTGGCTTCCATGGGATCCTGCGGCCATCCATTGCGACAGGTGCTGACGACCGCAACCCTGCGGCTGATCGCCATTTTCTATGGGACCCCTCCGAACGTGGGTCCCTCGCTCTCCATCGCCTTTCCACTTCAGCTGTGACAAAGACCAGGCGTTCTGAAGTTGCCGTCGCAGCTCTGCTCTCCATCACATTGCATCGTCGAATGATCACGGCGCCAAACCCGCCTTGGTTGCTCGTACTTCATGTACCATCGAACAGCCGCCGCGCACGCTTCGTGTGGTAGCCAGGCCTGAAACTAAGATTACGTGACCTCAGGCCATGCAATGGATGTGCGTCGTTGGCCAAGATCCTCTCACGTGATGTGGGCTGGATACTTGCGCGCTGACGGCGGCATTGGGTGTGGGCTGATCGGTCGGTCCGTAGGGGGCCCCACAATGCACTGTATCATTGGTAGGGGGCCCACAAAAACGACCTGGATCATGGGTGGGGGTCCCACTCGCAATTGGCCATCAAGAGCGGCCGCAGCGTCATAAAATGTAACATTCATATTGGTATTTGTATCGAAAGGTATAAAATTCGATGACGAGATGATATCCAACTCGGTCAAAGTACATTTCAGCGGCTCGCGGCGATGGACACTTCGCACCAGCGCAGGTCGCCGACGTCGCCGGCCAAGAAGCAAGATGTACGCAGCTCAACGCTATGCGATCTCATATCCCATCGCGTAGGCTCTTCTCGACGCCATTGCGCAATGCAAGACCAAGGCCGCGCTCTCGCTCGTGCACAAGCTCGCCGCCACCGGCGACGTACACGCCAATGAACCAGCCACACTCGTCTCATGCTGTCTTGCTAGCGCGCGGTGGCCGACACGCTGGACAAAGCACTGCTGGAAGCCGCCAAGCAGGGCATGCTTGCAGTCGTCGAGGCTCTTTTGGCCGTCGCCGACGTCAACACTGTCACAAAGGTACCTTTTGTGGCCGCCACCTGACCTCACGATGAGTAGAGCCGCGAGAACGCACTGCATTTGGCGGCCGAGGAAGGCCACGCGGACGTGGTAGCCGAGCTGCTGACAACCAAGATCCGCGTCGACGCCAAAAACTCGGTGCGTCGTTGCGATCAAAGCATGACATCATCATCATCTCTCTCTAGTCGAACCAGACGCCCTTTATGCTCGCCGCGTCATTGGGCCACGTGGACGTCCTCGACGTGCTCGTGGCCGCCAGCGACATCAACGCAGTCGACGACGTACGAACCCACACATACTACGACAGTGGGCAAAGACGCTCGGGGCTGTAGGAAGGACGCAGCGCCCTCGGCGTCGCGGCGTTCCAGGGCAACGTCGGTGTCGTCACGTTCCTTTTGAGCTGCCTCGACATTGAAGTCGACCTCCAGGACCGGGTACCCCCTTTTTGGGCCATTCAAACGTACTGGACGATCCTCGTAGTTTGGCGCGACGCCGCTCATGCTCGCCGTGTCCGAAGGCCACGACGAGATTGTGACGCAGCTCCTCGATGCCAACTGTGCCCTCGACTTCATCGACGCGGTGCGCGTCATCAAGGCGACGATGGCGGTCTCATTCCCATGCGTAGGAGCACCGGACCGCGCTTGTGTGCGCGCTCGACGACGAAGACAACGCGCATGTGGACCTCGCGACGATTCTCATTGAGCGCGGCGCCGATGTCAACCTGGCCAATCTCGTACTGCATCGTGCCAGAGTCATCGCATCATCCTGTATATCATGCGGCTGTAGACCGGGTACTCGGCCTTGCACTTGGCGATCCAACTCGGCGACTTGGGATTGGTCAAGCTCCTCCTCGATCACGAGGCGAATATGGAGGCGACGACCGCAACCGAGTATGGCCGGGACACGCCCTTGACGCTCGCGCTCGAGCTCGAGCGCACGGAGATCGCGCAGCACCTCATCGAGGTCGGCGCGCTTGTCAACGTCTCCAACTCGGTACGTCCATTGCGTGCGATAGAAAACATCATCATCGATCATGCGGCTGCTGGGATCTAGGAGGCCAAGACGCCGTTGCACTTGGCCGTCGAGAAGCAGCACGCTGACATCGTCGAGGCGCTCGTGACCAAAGGCGCCGACCTCGAAGCGCGCAACCTCGTACGTCGACCATTAAACTCCTCGGCGTTGCATCTTAGCGTCTACTTAGTACGGCGCGACGCCGCTCATGGTGGCGGCTGTCGAGAAGACCGACCTGGCGATGACGCAGCTGCTCTTGCAGCACGGCGCGTCGATCGACGCGAGCAACACGGTAGCGATTTGTCACGTCGAGAGCCTTACAATAGATGTGCGTGGTAGAATAATGACACGCTGCTGTCGCTCGCGGCCATGACGCAAGAGAAGGAGATTGCACTGCTCTTGTACAAGACGTACTACCGCGCCCCGTCCGACGTCCCGCTGCTTGTGCCGAGCACAGCGCCGCCGTCGACCGTCCACATTGGCGACCTCGTGTACTTTATGTTTGCGTCCGACGACGACTCGCATGTGCTCTCGAGCGACGGCTTTCTGCACACGGATCTCCATGTCTCGGAGGTCCACGACTGGCTCGACCACCTCTTTGTCGTGCACCCGCAGCTGTCGTACGACCACGTGAGCGTTGGCGCCTTCACCGAAACGTCGGTCGCCGCGTCCCGCCTCTCAAAACCCGACCCGTACTCGGAGGAAGAGCGGTACGCGTGGTTGCAAGGTATCAAGGTATCAAGTTTGACCTTTCTAGCGAAAAGAAGCGCAACGCAGCGCTGCTGATCGCGACGCGGACGACGACGACCGAGGTCCAGTACAACACGACGTACCAGCTCTTGCACGTCAAGTCGCAAAAGTACCTTCGTGTCAACCCGCTCGCGCCGCCGGGCACGGCCAACGTACGTTGTATATTGATAGCATGATACAAACGGAAGCAACGACGTAGGTGTCGCTGGATGCGCAAGGGTCGTGCTACTCGTGGTTCCAGTTTGTGCAGCTTGCGGTGCCGTCGACGGGCAAGGAGTTCGACGAGCCCGTGGCCACGTCGACGCCGATCTCGCTCGTCAGCGCCTGCCTCGGCGACCTCGTGCCTTCGTCGCAGCGCGCCAAGCCCGTCGTGATTACGCCGCCCAAGCCGTCGTTGCTGGCCATCGGCATGTACGCGCACCACGAAGCGTCCGCGGCGTTGCCCAAGGTGCTCCAAGCGCCGTGTCATTTGCTGCTCCAGGACCAAGCGGTTGCGTGCCTCGGCCAGCGCCTTGTGCCCCTCGCGACGTCCCTCGAGACGGTTCTGCAGCCGCACAAGTCGATGGACTCTGTGTTTGCGATCGAGCTTCTCGTGGCCAACGACGAGGACTGGTACCAGCTCCGGCACGTCGGCACGCGCTACGTGCTCGGCATGCAGTGTCCGTGCGTCACGCGCGACTACAGCATTCCCGCCGTGCTTCTCACCGAAGACACGGACTCGATGACGCTCGCGACGCTCAAGATGGACCTCGCACCCGACCTTCGCGTTGCGTTTCAATCCACGTGCGCGCGCTGCGGCCACCTCTGGCACCTCATCGGCCACAAGGACAAGGTTCGACGTCGCTGCGGTTAGCATCCTACGAGCCATTTGTGTGTAGCTGTACTGGAGCCCGGAGAAGGCGACCGAGACCTTCCGCCTCGAGCCCATTCCGGTCGACGAAAGCCAAATGCTCTACGAGGTGTACCATTGGCGCGAGAGCTTCCTCAAGCTCGCGCACGCTGCGCTGACGCAGGCGCCGCCGTCGGTACGTGCCGAATCGTTCCGATCGATGGATTCATTGCATGTGGGTGCTAGCGTCTCCACCACATCATGGCCCACGTGACGATGACGACGACGCAGATCGTCGAGCTCATGGACAAGCAGTTTGAAGAGGACGAGGAGAACGCGCGCTTGAAGGCGTACAAGACAGTGTGCATCGACATGGACATTCTTGACGCGATCTTCATGGCGGCCGCATGCTTGGACTACATTCCAACGAGCGACGACCTGTTGGCGATGCTTGTACCTCCGGCTTCTTGTGCGCTTCAACTGAATGCGTGTTGAGTAGGTCCCGTTCTGGAAGGCGCTGCGGTGCCTCATCGTAGGGAACGCAGCCAGCGAGGCGTACCTGCTCATGGAGTTTGATGCGTCGCACGGCAAGATCAAGATCATCAACGCGCTCTCGAGCCGCGCGTCGGTCGGGAATGTCGACTGCACGGCCATCATCGCGACGCTGATTGCCAAGAACCCGAATTCGCTCGAGCTCTTCCTCGACCAAAGCAACGTGCACGGCAAAGCCTCGGCGTTTGCTGCCGACTACGCACGCGACCCGATCCGCACGATGCAGCTGCTCATTGCGATGAGCTCGACCGACCGTGACGCGCTGAGCTTCCTCACGGCGGCCAAGTTGGAGGACCACGAGACCAAGGTGGCGACGCTCCTTCTGCAGCACGTCTGGACGGATCACTGCATCGAGACGAGCATCGACGAGACGACGTCCGATGTCGCCGTGTCGTGGTCGACGGCGTCGCACATCGACTTGCTCTTGCAGGATGACGAGCTCGCGCTCTTGCCGGAAGCACACGTGGAAGACGGCGTCGCCCGCGTGCCGCTGCAAGTGCTCGCCCGAGCCATCCAGCCGCACATCAAGACGTTCTGGGCCGACAGCTTTACCAAGCGCGCGCAAAAGTGGTGCATCTTGTACCTCCACCAGCTCAAGCTCGTCAGCGTGCTCGTCAAGACCAACGCGACGTGCCAAAAGCTCTTCCAAAAGAAGTTTTCGCTCCCGCTGC